AACTGAAGCAAATTTAGATTTAGACTTTCTTTATTGTCATTGCATTATAAATATGAATTTATGAATCTCACCAGTGTGGTGTTGTCAGCAAACTAAATAATGGCATTAGTGGGATGGACTGAGGGGCAGTCAGTCACAGTGCTCTGGGGAGCCAGTGCTGATAGCGAGGGTGGAAGAGAGATGGGAGTCAAACTTGGTTGGTGAGAAGGTCTTTGGCCCAGCAGCAGGTATAAGAGGAGAGGCCAATGTCAGACAGCTTCCTGATCATCTCTCTGGGATGATTGTGTTAAATGCTGAGCTGTAGTCAACATAAAAACAACCTCACATAGTTTATACTATGTTCCCGATAGTTCAAGGGATAATGCAGAGCTGTGGCGATGGCATCCTTTGTGGGTCTTTTCACTTTGTTGGCATAATATGAGTGTGGATCAAGAGTCAGTGGAATACTGATTTGATGTCATTTGATACCAGCCTCTCAAAGTACTTAATGATTATGGGTGTGCAGTAAGTGGGTGGATGGAGTGTCTGAGTTGGGTCTTTTAAACTCAAAGTGTAAGAAGCGGTTCAGCACCTCTGCCTGTGTGGTGTCCACGTTGGTGACTGTGGGAATGCTTTCCTTGTGGTTAATGATGTTCTGTGTACCATGCCAAGCCCACCTGAGGGCATTGTCAGCAAAGTGGTCTTCAGTTATCCTCTTATAGTCCTTTTAGGCCTTCCTGATGTGTACTTTCAAGTCAGCCCTGTCCCAGGTCCTGTCTCTGAACCTGAATGCAGAGGCACTGTTCACAGGGAGGGTCTGGACATCCTTGGTGATCTAGGTTTTCTGGTTTGAACTGTAACATTTTCTGCATAACTGAAGATGTAAACGCCCAATGCTCAGAGAAGCAGCAAAAAACCCAAATGCAACATCTCAGACTATACAGCCCTCAGTTAACTTGTTAAAGGTAGCGATAATGACAGTACAGTTAGAAAAAGACTAAAAACGTACTGAAGGTACTGAAGGTGAACCAGAACAACCCACTTTTCTCTCTAAAAAGAACATGCCAGCACAGCTTAGGTTTGCAAAGTTGTGTCTGAACAAACCACATAATGACAAACAAAAATAACAAATAACAAAACAATAACAAAAAAAGTGATTTGATTTGATAATGCAATGATGTTCTTTGGACAGATGAGAACAAAGTAGAGATGTTTGCCTATCAGCACAAACACCTCATACCAACTGTTAAGCACGGTGGCGGAGCGCTGATGATTAAAGCTTGCATTGTATCCACAGGACGTCACCTTGCAGTGATTGAGTCGACCATGAGCTCCTCTGCATACCAAAGTATTCTAGAGTCAGAAGGGAGGACATCTGTCCAACAGCTAAAGCAGACTTTTTCTGTGCACTTTTTCTTACGACTTCACAGATGCAAATCCAGGATTTTTATTTATTTATTTTTTACTGTTTTTGGCTCTGGTTTTGCTTTATACCAAATGTTTAAACCATTAAATGTCTCACTGTGATCTCTCACCAGTTGCTACCTGCTGCGAAGGTAGAGAAGGAAAGAATTCTCTGTGGGAGTGCCACAACGAATAACTTTCACACTGCAGTCATTTGCTCCATTGTTAAATGATAGATAATCATTTTAATTTACTACTTTGAGACATATGAATTTAAAATGGCACCTATGATTTGTGGCCAACGGTTTCGGTGAGCCAGATTGATGGTGATTTTGTTCACTAATTGGCTACACTGAGAAGGAGAAAAAAGGATAATAGAGAAAGGATTTTCACACAAACACGAGTTTAAAACCAGCTAGAATTGTGAGATAGATTCACACGGCTGGAAACTGGCTGCGAGCTGCTCGGTTAATTAGTTTGACTGTTAAAAAGAACAGAAATAGCCAAAGGTTTCGGGCAAAGTTAAAGGCAGAGAGAAGGCTCGATATAATACAAGCTAACAGTGTGAGGTGGCAGTTTTCACTCACATATGGCTGACTGGTTGCTTCAAGCTGTTGGATAATGAGTCAGAGAAAGGTAAAGAGAAGGGGGGGAGGGAGGGGGGGAGAGAAAAAGGAGGGTGAGAGATGAGTGGAAGGAGAGGGAATGAAGAGGACGAAGGAGAAAGGAGAGAGAGAGATCTAAAGGAGAAAGGGGTTAGATGGGGGTGATGTGGCTTTATAATGAGGGGACAGAAGAGACAAACACCTGAGTAGAGTGAGAGAGAGAGAGAAGGTTGGAGGCAAATGAAGACTCCATTTGGCAGCTACTGTACAGACACACTCACACCCTCGATGCACAGAGTATACTGGTTGCTCGGAGCAGCTTGGGATAATAGGAAACACAATAAGGTGGTTTTTATAATGAGAAACAACAGCTGAACCACCGATGGCAGAGACGAGAGTGAAGAGGGTTGCGGGCAATGGACAGCTCCACTTACTGTACACAGCAAAAATGCCAGTGTTGATTTTTCAGTGTTAGTAGATTTCAACAGAGTTCCGAGTTAGTTCAACACTTAATCGAGTTAAAATAACACATCGGGAGTTGATTCCTGAAAAGTGTAAGTGTGGATTTTAGTCGTTACTGCATTTTAACACTGTGGGTGTTAAATTAGACCACGCCTTCATTTCCTGTGGAGCTTCGCATTTCAGAATCTTCGGTCGCCATTTTTTTTTGCTGCTGCGGTAAGTTTTATTCGGTCAAATATTAAGTTTTAGATTGATGTTAGAACAAGTAACATGATAACTAGTAAAAACAATAGTATTTGTATCAAAATACATTATCTTTAAGTGTCATATTTGAATTTTAACTGTTTTTTGTTAAGCTGGGCTACTGCTAGCTAAAACTGCAAAGTACCAGTTACTTTCCTAGCATTCATTTAGCATAATCTGGCTGTTGGCAGACTATAACGAATATTACTTGTTAATATATGTCACAGTTTTTATTAGACGCTTTTTATTTATTTTCAAATTAAACTTGCCAAATCCTCAGGGGTCTCAAACTCGCGGCCCCATGTGGGACTCCCTCCCTCCCGGTTTGAGTGCGAGGGAGGGAGAAAGTATGAGTTGCTACCCGCGAGAAACGGAAGATGAAAGCATGTAGATATAATAACCACTGCAGCCAAAAAGACTGGCTGACGAGCCCAGTTGTAAGTAAGCTGTTTATACTCGAGTGTACACTGTGTTCGCTGACAGTAAAGCTAGTTAGCGGCCACGAGCCCGACGCGGGACCCGACGTATTAGCCAGGTTTTTTTTGTTTTTTTTTTTAACCACGGTTCAGAGCCGCGGAGCTAGGCTTCGGTTAGTTTGGAGTGAGAAAAATGCGTTCAAGTTTGCGGTTTTGCCTTCTTATACAATATTTGAAATTTTAAAAACTAACGAGGAACTGCATTTTGGGAAATATTTGTGGGTGGTTTCTTTGTATTTTTTTTTTTGTACTACTTGAACACTAAAGTGGCCCTCCAATGAGATGGCAGTGGCCCATAGCTCATTGAAGTTTGAGACACTGGCTTAGGTGAACTAGGATGCTTAAGGCTACCCTGAGAGTATGTATAGATGGAAAGATTTTTACACTAGAGTATGCCCCCTACATCTTGTTAATTATGGTAATTTCATATGTTATGCATTTCTGTGACAATAAGGCATTTTTCTTTTTTTAGATTGTTTTTTTTCATGGTAAAATAAGCATTTTTCTGCCTCTTTATATTAGGGTTTGTTAGAGTGCAGGGAGAGTTTTTATGGCTTAAAGTATATAAAAATAATAAAAAAGAAATATGGTTTCTACTAACCCCCGCGATTATCAAGAGACTACTGTATTGCAGTGCAGTTATGCAGTTTTGTTCTACTCTTGGAAGGTGGCGATATGCTGGTTCCTGTCGAGTTTAAGGGAATGAGCAAATGGGTCAGGGTACCAAAGACAGACGATGCCTACAATTACTCCGAATTTTTGCAAGGAGGTAATTTGAGTGTAGTGATTAAAAGTAACTAAGTAAATTTATTCATATACTATTCATGTAAGTATTGTTTTGATTTACTTGTACTTTACTCAAAGCCTTCACTGCAGTCCAAGGGCAAATACTGTAAGTTTACTTCACTACATTGATTGCTAATTTAAATGAATAATTCTTTTAGTAATTGAATGAATAAAGAATTTATAAATATTGTCAAAGTAAAACTGTGATTCACGGATTTATGAATTATAAATTCACATAGAACTTTATTGATTGTTTATTTTTTAGTGCTGGTGAAATTCAGTTTGCCAGGTTCTACCAATTTGGTCCTGATGGATTCTGCGGGAGTGGAAGTGGATTCGGACATATTTGATGAACTTTTGAAGTCATCTCAGGTGTCTTTCAGTGTCTTCACTGAAGAATGCAGTGGTAAGAAGTTTAAGCCGTATGTTTCATTTAAAAATGCGTTGTTAAATTTACTAATTTATAGTTGGTGTAATCATGTTTAAATCTATGAGGCTGTCTGTATTGTTAGACAACAGTGTTGCAGGGTCTTCTTCAGATCACACATCTTCATTAGAGTTGTCACCGTCACCTGCATCAGGAGGATCATCATCAGGTTCAGACACAACAATAACACTCGAATCTACCAAAGCTCGGAAAAGACAGCTAATTGAAGGACCTCCTGACAGCAACACTGCAAGAAATGTAAGTAATCTTCAGGATATGATATGTTGTAACTTAAGATTGCCAATTACCTGTTCATTTGTACCAATACTCAATATCTTTAAAAATATTATTAAAAAAATTATAAAAACAAAACAATGGTCCCTCTCATGATTAAATAAGATGTAGTGATTAATGCAAAGGCTATAGCAGTTGATGCTGATAATTTTTATACCCACCTGGTAGGTGCTTTCTATGAATTTCTTGCAATTGTTATTTCAGATCATCAGAGCAGCCTTGTATTCAAAGCCAGATGGTGATCAAGTATTTAAGGAATATGAGAAAACAAACTGCCTCTCTGATACTACAAGAAGAAGGATGGTGAACATCCTTGTGGCAGACATGGTAGAGAGTCATGGGTAAGTGATGTAAACATTAAGAAAAATCTTTGTTTTTTTTTTTTTTTTTTGTCTGCAATTTTAGTTGTTTACCATTATTGCACCACTTAAATAGATTCTTCTATATGTCATGAAGTCATTGTTAAGTTAAATCAAATCAATCATAGTTTTCATTAGTTGCTAACCCCATATTGATAATGTTTCAAAAGAAAGTCACAATTTGTTATGGAGTGATGTTATTTTCCATTGTCATTATTGTAGTTTCTGAATATAGTGCTTCTTAACAGGGATGGTTGACAACAGCAAAACATTAGGAAAATGTCTGCATCAAATTGTCATAGTCCATGTGGAGCATAATCCAAGTCTTCATTTTCATTATTCTTAAAGACCTGTCAGGTGTGTGATGTGGTCAGTCATGATTTACAGATGATAGGTAGTTTGGGTAGTTCAAATCATACACCTGGATACATGTTGTTCTTGTTGCTGACATTTTATAATTGAACTTGAATCTGTGTTGGGGTAAATAATTGATAGTTTTCGTGTTCTCTGTATCTGCCTTTTAGGAGGATCCCACCAGTAAGTGTCCGCATTATGTATGCACACAACCTTGTTCCCAAACTTGAAGGACCCAGATTCAAAGAATGGTTATGTAAGTTATGATGTTATGATGCATACATGCTGTCAGTGTCATAGTCCTGGGTCTGTGACCCAGTTTTTATGCAATTAAGACTTTTTTGATTGTGGTTTACGTGATAAATGCCTACACCTGCAGATATGACAGTCAGTGGTCTGTGAAAGTATTTTGTTGTTGGCTTTTCTGATGGAGTGGTTAAAGAAATCATATGATAAGACTAATTCAGGTCAGTCTGTCATTCAGGCAGTTTATCAAGTTATTCCCTAATGGACCCAAAATAAATAAATGTAAAAAAATGTCATTGTGTAACAATTGATTTAAATAGACCTCTAATGCATGATGCCATATCTGGCTTTTTGACATGTAGCACTGAACAATCCCACCAGTCAGGAGTTTTCTTCACTTGCTACAAACAGAGTAGCAGGTAATCAATATTGAATAAATATCTCTCTTGCTCTTAATTCGGCAGGAACATTTCTATGATCACCAGAGTGGTTCTGGTTACCTGGCATGGAGATTGAAAACTGTGCAGCGCAACTCTACTGAAGGGATGAAGAAATCAAAGTCAGCTTTTCAAGACAGCCCCAAGACTCTTCGCAATTTCGCAACAAATGCGAGACAGTTGTCAGATGATGAATGCAAGGAAGCTATGTCAGTGATGAGGCACTCGACTGACATGAAAGTTGTCAAAGAGAAAATGAAGGTGACATTTCAACATAGGCAAAAAGTGATTCAAGATCCAGCCACAGCTTCTTCTGTCCTGGACCTTTTCCCAAGATTTCTGGATACACCTGGCTTGGTAAGGCATAAACTGATTGACTGACAGCTGTGTGGTTCCTTTGTTTGTTTGCTCGTTAATGCGTTCTTTCTATTGTCACATTTTGTGTTTCAGATTGACCAAGACTTCACAATGCTGTTTGGGGAGGAAGTGTCTGGTAAATTCCTTGCAAAGTGGCCAACATTCTTCAAGCCAAGAATCATCAAAGATTGCAAAAATCTGTCTCAGAGTACAGAATTGGATGACCTGCTTGTCTCTGCACAGGGGGACTCTGATGAGGGTGGTAAGTTGGAGATGGTAGACTTCACATGTCTTTACAGCATTTTCACAATTCCCACAGCACAATATATTAGGTGGACCATACTATTAAATCAAAACATGTTTTGGCACCTTTACAACAAATTGGAATACAGCTGTCGATTTTATAAATTACGTTGAGTTTCTGTTCATTTCAGTATGGTATGAAAAGGAATTTACAAACAAACTTTAATGGCATTTAAAGTTTGACAAAAAAAAGTTACTTAATGTTAGTATTGTTATGACTCAATATTTACGTCACTTGGTGGCCAGAAGATTTTAAGTGTCTTGAAATGAATTTTCATACCATACTGAAGACATTGGAAAACTGCTTTATTTGAAAAATTATCAGTTATCCAAAACTGAATAACATTGACAAAATGACTGCTGTGGACCTTAAAATGACAGTAATTGCGATTATCCTAATTCCTATTCTGTAGTTTGGGACTGCGAGTTGGCTGCCATTCTTTTGCTGCTTCACTTGTTACCTCCAACATCTAAGGGAAGGAAGTCTTCAAAGATTAGCACATCAGATGCTGCTCACCACCTAATGAAATTCATGAAGGTATGATTTCTTTAGAAATGTGTTAAAGTAGCTTTCTCTTTTGATGAGAAAAGATTATCAGATGTTTTAAGAGGGCAAGGAGTTCCACTGTGCAGCAGATATATCTATGCCAGATAGGCTTGGTGTTGCAACGCCGGCACATTATTGTTACCATTAAACCTAAAATTACACATTGGAACAAAAATAACTGTGGGCCCGAAGTAAAACATTTTAATATTTATATAATAATATAATTAATATATTTAATATTGTCTTAATTTTAGGCAGCACTGCCACTCAACATCAGATTACCAATTTTGTTTAATGTGAATCATTTGGTTTCTTTCACTTCCTCAGGTGGGAGGTAGCATGGAGACTTTTCTTAAGGCTGGCCCCACTCAGCCATTCCTCCTGTGTGTTGGAGAAAGAAAGAACATCATCCAGACTTTCTACATTGTCCTAGATCAAAAGGTCATTCCCTGTGTGACGCAGACGGGAGTTGCAGCTTTTGACGAGCTTTTCAAGGCACATTTTGTATTTGCCGTGTCCTATGACGAAGCATTGCACAACTTCTACACATTCATCCAGACCACCGTGTATGGCATTGATGTTGGCAGCGTGAAGGAGAGTCCTCGGGTCAGGGAAATCAGAGCAAGAATTCTTCACAGTACAGTCTAAAGACATCGACTATACAGTACTTTGACTGTTCTTGTGTTACTTTTGCAAGATACACCACACAAGTTGCTCAGTGTTATTTAGACATGTCAAGTTCCAGCAACGTTTTTACTTTTGAGCTTTGGACAGCCTAGATATTAATTTATCTTTTACAAGCAACACCTCTTCAAAGCACGTGGAGACTTTGTTGACTCAGAGGTCATCAGTAATTTTTATTTTGAGCCTGCACCTTATGATAGAACCTTTGTTTCACAGCCTGTAAATGTGGCTCATCTTGTGACAGGACATGTATAGGACTGTTATTTCTCAACTACAATCCTCAGGAGTTCTGAAAGTACTGTGCAGTGTTTAGTTGGTTCATTGGAGGAAAGTGTTAATGACATGCGTCATTGCACATGCAAAACAATCTGTTGTTGAATGTTTGTCATCAAGAGAAACCTCGGAAAAGTTGAATGTTTTGATCAGCTTGAAAACCCATTCTCATATCTTAACAGAATCTAAAAGGATGAGACATTTTGAGCAAAAATGGAAAATAGTTGAACCTGTAGAGCATGTTTTCCTGTGTGTGTTTTGATGTACTTAAAGCTGCTTGTGCATGCTCTAAGTAATATGGAGACCGAAGAAATGATCAATGGTCACTTAAATGCATTTGTTATTGAGGATAAACTGGATGCTGTTGCACTGATCTGTGTAGATAATGTGGTGTATTATAGACCTTACAATGGGCTATTTTCAAATGACACTAATGACAAAATGTAGATTGTCCAATATTCTAGTTTTGTATATATTTATGCGCTGTTTATTTGTGGTGTATCTGCTGTTTGAATACAGAGTATTTTGAACACTGTCCTGTTGTTTCTTTTAATGGGTAGAGTGTCTGTAGCTGTGAATACATTTTAATTAATTGTAGCAGTAGAGATATCAGAGATTAATGGGAGTTTATTGTAATCTGGCTAGTATTGATGATTTGCCTGACACTAGTGTTAGTGTTAGACAATCAACACTATTCAGTGTTAAATTTTTAAACACCAGGGCTAGTGTAAAGTACTACCAACACTATTTGGTGTTACTTTTTAACACTTAACACGAGTGTAGAATATTGTTGACACTGGTCAGTGTTAGTCAGTGTTAATCTTTAACTCTGTACAGTGTTAGAATAACACTAGGTCATTGTTAAAAATATAACACTTTGAAAAGTGTTAATTTAACACTCAAAAGAGTGGACACATATAGACACTTTTCTAGTGTTAAATTTAACACTCACGGTGTCAATTTAACACTGGCGATTTTGCTGTGTACAAAACAAGGTTCTGCACAGAAATAGAAAGTTGTTATATGATATACTCGCTGACAAAGTATGGTAAGTGAAGAGGTCTGATACATCCCTGACTAAATGTCCGTCTGCAAATGATGGGTAATGCAGGAGTTCGAGATGAATTGTGCTGTTTTGTCTTGGCTCTTATGAATAGGTTGGATGATGTCACAGTTAATCAAGGACAAGTAGACATTAAGGACACTGGAAAACATAGAGTTTGCGGGTCTTTTGCGCACAGTTTTTATTTGTGGAAAAAAGCTGAAAGATGACATTTAGAAAAAAAAAATAGCACTTTACAGGTGTAAACAAAATAGTGTGTTTATACACCACTCTGCATGTAATCATTATTAATCTTTATCTCTCCTCCACTACAGGGAGTGCAGAATTATTAGGCAAATGAGTATTTTGTCCACATCATCCTCTTCATGCATGTTGTCTTACTCCAAATGAGAGTGAGTCTTGATGGGCCAGATGGATGGGCCCGTGGCTGGATTGGTAAAGGGCAGAGAGCTCCAGTCCGACTCAGACGCCAGCAAGGTGGAGGTGGAGTACTGGTTTGGGCTGGTATCATCAAAGATGAGTTTGTGGGGCCTTTTCGGGTTGAGGATGGAGTCAAGCTCAACTCCCAGTCCTACTGCCAGTTTCTGGAAGACACCTTCTTCGAGCAGTGGTACAGGAAGAAGTCTGCATCCTTCAAGAAAAACATGATTTTCATGCAGGACAATGCTCCATCACACACGTCCAAGTACTCCACAGCGTGGCTGGCAAGAAAGGGTATAAAAGAAGAAAAACTAATGACATGGCCTTGTTCACCTGATCTGAACCCCATTGAGAACCTGTGGTCCATAATCAAATGTGAGATTTACAAGGAGGGAAAACAGTACACCTCTCTGAACAGTGTCTGGGAGGCTGTGGTTGCTGCTGCACGCAATGTTGATGGTGAACAGATCAAAACACTGACAGAATCCATGGATGGCAGGCTTTTGAGTGTCCTTGCAAAGAAAGGTGGCTATATTGGTCGCTGATTTGTTTTTGTTTTGTTTTTGAATGTCAGAAATGTATATTTGTGAATGTGGAGATGTTATATTGGTTTCACTGGTAAAAATAAATAATTGAAATGGGTATATATTTGTTTTTTGTTAAGTTGCCTAATAATTATGCACAGTAATAGTCACCTGCACACACAGATATCCCCCTAAAATAGCTAAAACTAAAAACAAACTAAAAACTACTTCCAAGAACATTCAGCTTTGATATTAATGAGTTTTTTGGGTTCATTGAGAACATGGTTGTTGTTCAATAATAAAATTATTCCTCAAAAATACAACTTGCTTAATAATTCTGCACTCCCTGTATGTGACTTTGTCCTGTCTTCCTCCCGTCACCTCCAAACGGCTGCCCCTCCCTGAATCTGGTTCTGCAGGGAGTTTTTCCTTCCCACTGTCATCAAGTGCCTGCTGTTAGTGGGTATCTGAATGTTGTGGTTTTCCGTGTATAATTGTAGGGTCTTTATCTTACAATATAAGCACCTTGACTGTTGTTGATATTTGGTGCTATATAAATAAAATAAAATTGAAGTCCAACCATCCATTCAAGTAAAAACTTGTTTTGTAGATACTGTACAATATAAAGCACCTTGAGGTGACTCTCTCGGTGATTTGATGCTATATAAATAAAACTGAATTGAATTCTAAACCTGACTTTAACAGCACTGTCCCCTTCATGGTTATATCCCTCTGAGGCTGCATTGCTTACTGCTGAGCTTTTGCAATGCACTTGGGGCCAACAGTGTAGTTGCAGGGAACCAAATTTGGCAGGTATGACTGTTGGTGAGCAACCTTTGTGTTGGTCTGATAAAAAAAAAAAACGTACTCAATTTTTTTTTTCATATTTTTATTGAGAGACAAGTGTACATTAGTTTACAATGACAATACAATCTGTTCCCCTCACATATTTTTTTAGTTTTTCTTACATGAACAGATACGATAATACAGGCACACCCACACACACTTAAATAAAATTGAAAAAACAAACAAACAAAACAAAACCTAATAAGAAACCCAAAACAAACAACAAACCCCAAAACACACACACACACACACACACACAAAAAAAAAGGGGGGGGGATATGATATTAATCAGCTGGTAGAGCGTTTAATGACTTGCAATAGTTTACGAAGGGGCCCCAGATATGATAAAATTCTCTGTATTTGCCCTTCGCCACGAGGCCTATCTTTTGCAATTTAAGAAATGACATCACATCTCTAAACCAAAAAGAAACTGAAGGTGGCTTTGAAGATTTCCAAAGGAGTAAGATGCAACGTCTATCCAAAAGTGATGTAAAGGCTAATATTTTGAAGTGTGTAGGGTCGGTTAGACCAGTGTTGACTGGAAGCCCAAAAACAGCTAGAAAATTGTCACGTACTCAATTTTTAATGTGCTGTGAGTGGTGCATGATGGCACACACCACAGTTCAGGTCAATGGGACCAAATGTTCTCGCTCGGATCCCTGTGGATTTTATAGGAAAACTCGGTGTTGGGGTTGAACTCACAGTGCAAAGACTGTCTCCTAAAAAAGACAGAGAAAAAGATAAACATGCTTGTGGTCACATTCCTGCAAGTGGGCTACACTTTACAAAACGACAACCTCGAAGTGCACAGCAGCTAATTTCAAATCAGGTTTAATTTAAGTACTTTTAAGATGTGATTCTCTTTGTTTGACTGAAAGGTTTTTACAACTCTGGCCATGGTCACATGAAGACTAAGCTCACTGTTGACCCATAATCTATTTAATTGTGGCTTGTATAGCTTACTATACAGTATTTATTCATCTGTTGAGTCTTGTGAGCATGGAAGTGAGTCAAAAGTAGAAAATGTTGCAAGAAATGTATCTTTTTCCGGTATGTTTTAATTTTTAATAAATATAAATAAAAAATCGAATGTGCTGGAGAGGAGAATTTGACAGAGGTAAACACTGCATGGAAGGAAACAGCTTTTTCTCACAGTCTATTTTTTTTGTTGCTGTTTTCGTTTTTAGGTTTTTAGCAGCAGGAAAACCACAGGAGGAGTTCAGTGCTAATTCAGTGTTGGTATTACTGATGTTACCCCTGACCAACCAGGACAACAAACAAAATAAAATACAGAGAAATAAAGACAATAAATAAAATAAATAAAATAAAGAAGTATTACTCCCAACTTAGCATAACTTACAAATGGTATATAAGATAGAGCATAAGTTTAGAAAGTGTAGAGGGCTGTGGAACCTATGATGGGTAAGACACCTTGTGCTCCTGTGACTGACCAGCATGTCATGGAGTGGGTGGGAGGTGTTGTCCAACATTGTTTTTATCTTGGACAGCATCCGCCTCTCCGACACCACCTTGAGGGAGTCCAGCTCCATCCCCACAACATTACTGGCCTTACGGATCAGTTTATTAAGTCTGTTGGCATCTGCGACCCTCAGCCTGCTCCCCCAGCATGCAACAGCATAGAGTATCGCACTGGCCACAACAGACTCATAGAAAATCCTGAGCATTTTCTGGCAGATGTTGAAGGACCTCAGTCGCCTCAAAAAATAGAGACAACTCTGGCCCTTCCTGTAAAGTGCTGTGGTGTTTTTAGCCCAGTCCAGTTTATTGTCCATGTGTACTCCAAGGTATTTATAGTCCTCCACAATGTCAACACTGACCCCCTGGATTGAAACAGGGGTCAAGTGTTTCCTGGTCTTCCTGAAGTCCACGATCAGTTCCTTGGTCTTTGCCACGTTGAGCTGCAGATGATTCTGCTCACACCACGTGACAAAGGAGTCGACCACAGCCCGGTACTCTGTCTCATCATCCCTGCTGATGCATCCAAAAGGCACAGCTTATAGTGAATTGTATGTGAAACTGAACACTAGGATCAAGCTGGAAAGGATGTGCAGCAGGCGAGAATGATTAACCCAAGGATGGAAATGTACCAATGAGTGAAGGCAAAATGAATATGAAAGAGAGGGGAGAGAAAAGAGAGTGAATCAGAAAATGCCAGTCAGGTATGAAAAGGACAAAAAGAGGAAACATGGTTGATAAAGATGATGAACCTGTGGAGGTATGGAATTATCTATTGAAAAGGGAACATGTACTGGCACTGATTTTCAAGAACAAAGGTGATGAAATAAGTATAGAGGGATAAAGCTGATGAAACATACCATGAAGACCTGGGAAAGAGTTGTTAAAGTCAGGTTAAGAAGAGAGGTGGCAATCAGTGAACAGCAGTACGCTGTCATGTTGAGAGAGAACGCTACAGATGTGACGTTTGCTTTGAAAGTCTTGATTGAAAAGTACAGAGAAGGCAAATCGTATATCTTGAGCAAAAGATGTTGAATATGGAGCTGCAAGGCAGGAGGAAGAGAGACTGAAGGTTTCTGGATGTGTTGAAGGAGGATATGCAGAGTGTTGATGTGACGGAGGAGAATGCAAGGGATGGGATGAGATGGAGGTAGAGTATCCACTTTGGTGACCCCTATGAGGAGCAGCTGAAAGAAAAAGAAAAAG